AAATATTTACTACGTTTCAACTGAATTTAGGAATGTATAGGCTACAGAGCAGCAGAAAAGCATCACTCCTCTGCCTCCCCAGGTCATGCTAATAGACTGACAGGCTCATTTTCAGCAGAGGCAGGCTCTGGCCTGCACAGAGCAACTCAGCAGCCCCGTTCATCCCACTGCCCTCCAGTTGGGTTGATTTCCGAGGGATGTGGTGCATTTTGGTAGTGACTCTGTTCTCAAGACCACGTATAGTCCTGAGTGCAAATCAAATGATACCAACCACGGGAAATGACCTGCATGACCCTACCTGCCTCTGCCCCACATCAGTACCCGCAGATGCTTTCCCTCGAGCAAAAGCTCTCGCACCTCTGCCACCATTTTAGGCATCCGGAGGGATCACCCCACCCAGCCAAGCCATCCTCTACCTCCCCAGAGCAGCGAGCAAGTTTTAACATCTGCAGGACCAGCATCATCCCTTTTTCTTAACCAATCCCTTGTCCCGACAGCCCACCTCGTTCTGACTTCAGCAGGCACAGGGGGATGCAACAAATCACATTTTGCATTTTGGGAACACAAGAGGTCTCAGAGTCAGCTCTGTCAAATTTATGCAAGGAGTCTCTCTTCATCCCTCCCCTCCCTTTTCCCAAATCTATTTTATCATTACCTTTCTCTACATCTAATGGAGTTAAGAGACATATTTACTCTGCTTGGCTTGGGACTAAAGTCAAACTAGAAGTTTTAGCTGTACAGCAGCCCAAAGCAGAAATGTCTGCTCTGAAACACCACAAACATTCCAAAGCAGAAAGAGCATTTGGAGGGTGTTCTGTCAAAAAATGGAGCTGGGTGAAATTAAGCAGTTCCCAATATTTGAGACAACATCTCAGAACACAAAAACCAGTGGTGGCGGCGGAAATCATGCGTTACTTATATACATTCACACTATGGTATTTATCAATGGCAGAGCATTGGGGGAAGAAATATCATCACTACATCTGCAATATCCAAATTCGAGTCCCCGGAGTCCTGCACTAGCATTGTATTGAACAGCATCCCTGAGGCACGCCATATTTTAGGTATTTGCAGAGAAGGAATAGGTAGCGCACCGTAAGGTCCAAGACCTTAATCAAGCCCTGCAACTCGATAGATTTCCAATATAACAAAGACAAAGAGGTGTCAGCTCTACTTCTCATTTGCTAATACTATCAATAGCAGCTCAGCTCACTAGCAGTTAATTCAAAGCCAAGCTCGATTTGCACAGCAGTGATCTACACTAATTCCCATATGTGGCTAAGGGGAGATTTTGCCAACTAGACAATAGAAACAATATTAGAGCTCCTGAAACAATGCCATTGCTTTTCTCTTCTGCTCCACCACTTCCCCATCAAACTTCCATGTGCTGGAATTTCCAGTCATCTTCTCCCTTGCATGAGAAGACGTGCGGAAAGGGTAGCGAATACAGAGGTACCTATTCCTTTTCCAGATGCAGCTTTGAGGCTTTTAAAAATGCCACTTCCCATAACATGGGGGCCAATTTCACACTTGGTTTTTTTGTGCATTTAAAGACACTAAGAATTGCCACAATTGAGCAATTATAGAAGTATTTCCAAGTGATTCAACTGTAACTTAGCCTTAAAAAAAAAGTTGCTACATGTTGCTATGTTTCATAAAAGTTTACGAGCTTGCTTCATCCGATACCAAGCTTTGCATGGTTTTCCTTTCAGGTTCTAGTCCATCTCAATGCTAGATCAGATCATTTTGCCAAGAGACTATGGTTGTTGAGAAGTCCCAAGAAGCCAGATGTGCTACCCAATTAGGCAACGAAGCCGTTTTATCCACATTAGTAGCTACTGCCTGTAAGCCTGGCCCTCATTAATGTGCAGTTTGGCTGAAATGAAGCGGTGGCAGCAGCCCGTACCCACAGTTTACACTAATGAGTTACCCTCTCTCCTCTTAAGTCAGCTGCACACGGCAGCCCACAACTTTGACCTGCTGTTAATGCAAGTGTCCTCACACGCCCATCTCCTCCTCGCTGCCAGGCAAACACCGGCTGCAAACTACAGCCAGCACAAGGAAGGAATTCAAATGTAGCAATGGGGTGCTATAGCTTTCCCAGTTTGTGCAGTTCCCATGCTAAGTAAAAATGAGGTTAGAGTCGCCAGCTAGAGACCAGGTATTACCTTTCCCTTCCAACGGCTGCAAAACATCCCCAGCTTGGATTTGGAAAGATGGCAAGACTGCGACGCAGCCAGCTGGTCCCCAAAAGGGGACAGAGACCTGTGTTGCTCCCCCAACCCACCTCACAGCACCCGATTCCTATTAGAACTTGCATCGTTAGAGAAAGGACACAGACTAAGTACCTGCGCCACGCTCCTACTTCAGCAGGGAGTTAGACTAGGCGCCTGGCTCCTGCCACGAATCAATATGCTAGAAAAAACCACAAGTCTGAAACAGTTTAACACAGGACAAAAAAGGCACATTTTAATATGTACAGCAATGCATTTGGGCTATAAATTTACCCAACACAACTGAAAAAAAAAATCCAAACTATGCTTTTATACTTATTCCATGGTGTCAGCCTCATTCCTAGCCACCTACCTTTCTCTGCATCTCTGAATGCTGCTATATACACACACAAACAAACAATTACGTCATGAATGTTCATTTAGGCTCCCAAGTTCAAGTAATAAAGTTCAAACTTGCATAGCATCTTATGCCACTCAGCCATAAACAGTTACGATTGCATATTAGCTGGAGCAGCCATCTCTTTCAATTCAGCCAGTTTTGGCTGGCCACCATTTTTTTTTTTTATTTTTTTTTTTTTAAATCCTTGAGTCAGAATGTTTCCTAAGTCACCAGCCCTGAGGGATGCCACAGACTTCAAAATGAACCTCTTGCTGTTGTTAAGATCCTTTTAAACCAGAAATTTAGAGTGTTGTCAAGAACAGTTTTAAAAATGTAATACTGTTTATTTTGCTTCAAAAACATTTCAGCATTCTAAACATACAAAAAAAACAGAACGTTGCAAATTCGTTTAAGTACAGAGTGTTTTTGAACTTCAGTTGCTGCACTGGCTCTTCACTTAGTTGACGATGAAGAGATGTCTACAGTTTCAGTTTAAAAACTACCGCACTTAACTAAAAAAATCCATACACTTCTCATGCCAGCTGAACCCCCTTCCACAACTAAGAATGGCAGCAGAATGCTATTTCACTATATACAGAAAGACAACTTTAAGCTAAATGGACGCCCACTGTAGTGTAAATAGATCTACCCTCACAGTGCATGCTTTGGGCCATGGCACCCCGGGGAACATACAGCCTTTCCAAGTAATCACTGCTCCTCTAAGGCATCATAACTCTAAGCATGTACCACAAGAATCTGTCTAGTTTTTACAAACTATAGATATGTACAGTTTATAACCCAGGATTTTCTAGCCAATAACCATATAGTAACACCACCTTACAAATTAAAAAAATGCTTGAAACATTTTTAAATGCTTTGTTACACCAACAGCAAAGTGCACAGAGTTAGGAGAACACTAGAGCGCCTTTTCATTTTAAAAATGTTTGGAAATATGTACAACTTTGATACAGTTTCAGGGTGCTCACTACACCCATGGCCACTTCATGTGAACCAGTTACAATTTCTAGAGCACTTTTAGAAACTACAACGCGATCGGAATCCAAATTTTTTTTTAATTAAGCCTAATAAGGGCAAGAGACACCATCTCAAATAAGAGGTGCTTCATTTATGGTGTTTCCCCTACTCTATGGTATTCACATGGAGACAAGTATTGTACAGTTTTATTCATCATCATCATCTTCATCCTCCTCTTCTTCATCCTCCTCCTCCTCTTCGTCTTCTTCCTCTACCTTTTTCCGAGCAGCTTTGGTTGCTGCTCCCTTTGCGCCATCAAACTTTCCTTTAGACTTGTAGTCTGCAACATCCTGCAAAGTCAAGGGGATGTCTTAATTTGCTCTAAGCAGCAAACACATACAGCATTTGTACAGCAGCGGGCGTTAACGTAAAGGGACTGGCCTTCCACAGCCGCACCCCCAAAAGGGGAGACAGCCAGCAGCACAGTTAGTGCACAGGTATGCAGACACCTAAGCGTACTCAACTGCCTCCAGATGACGGAGGCCTTGAACCCTGCGTTCATGGTTATTTCTCTGAGGAGGAGAAGAGAACCCAGCCTCTCTTTGAGGTTTCCTGCTAACGGGACAAAGCTCCTCTAACAGCACAGCAAACCCTTTGCTGGAGCAACCCGAGCAGCCGCTGCTGCACAGCCCTGGGGGAAAGCTCTCCCTCCTCGCTGGAGTCTGCCTGCGGCTCTCTAACCTACTCTGTCCCAACGAACGCACAGTTCGGCTACGTAGCACGCAGTGCAATGAGAACAGGTGTGCAAGCTGGAGGTGCTCACTACGCTGGGGTCACCTTACCCGCGTCTGTTACAGAAACGCATCAACATAAGAGCCGGTATGGAAGAGGCACAAGTGAAAACTAGTCTTACCTTCTCGTACTTCTCCTTCAGTTTAGCTGCCTTATTGTTATAAGGCTGCTTTTCACCATCACTGAGATTGTTCCACATTTCACCCAGTTTCTTTGCTACATCCCCGATGGATATGCCAGGGTTTGTGGACTTGATCTTGGGGCGAAACTCTGAACAGAAGAGGAAGAAGCCAGACCTTGGGGAGAAGCACCAGAGGACAGTCAGCACCACAGCCGCACACCCGGGGAACATCCCCTTCCTCCATCCCTCACCCACAACATTCACACATGCACTCACATGCTGAGTAGAAACACTTTTCTAACTTTAAAAAGGAAAAAAAAAAAAACAAGCCACAAACACATTTTGATTTTACTGAGGCCCAGACCTGCAGCCTTCACCCAACGCTGTTTTTAATCAAGTGTTGTCCATCTACCTCCCCCCGCAATTTCATCTTAGATACACAAGTCTCACTGTGTCCTGGCCATTTCCACGTCTTCCATCACTACAAGTTTAAGGGTACCCAAGTACTGACAATTCCTGTTAGTGCTCTACGTGCTCAACATTACAAGCTGCCTAGAAGATTTACAAGACAGTATGAGTACGCTATGAGTATTATCTACACTGCTATACCAACAGTATAGCCCATCTACTTCCTTGATGGAAACCTATCAGCTGTATTACAGGGTGTGAAAACAAACCAAAACACTTGTGCATTTAATGCCTCAAAGCTACTTACGGTGGTCGTTTTGGGGCATTGGGGTCCTTCTTCTTTTTGCCACCCTTAGCTGGTCCATAGTCCTTCATTTCTCTATCATATCGTACCTTATCAGCCTTTGCCATTTCATCAAATTTAGCCTTCTCCTTGCTTGACATAGTCTAAAGTGAAAAAAAAACACCACACCAAAAAACAAGACACCAAACCTGTGATTACCCAACTGTTTAATAGCTGGCAAACTTTAAGTAAACAAGCCGACACATACTGACTTGATAGGGAAATTTCAGAATTTGTTTGTTTTCTAACTGGACCACCTTGGGGCCGAAGGTCCTGTACTGGGGACCGCTGGCACAGTCAGTGAAAGGGAAGCAACGGGCATGGGACAAGCACAGCCAGGGTCCTCCTTGAGGAAGACAGCTGCTGAAGGGCACTGCTTGGGAACGGGAAAAAAGGCCAGGCTGTAGTGGAAGCACCTAAACGAGCAGACACACTGCGCTGAAGCCTTCACGATCATTACAGGAGTCAGCAGCACCCGATCAATGGCCGGGACGCCTTGCCAAGAACAGCACACAAACCAAAACAGCACCGGCTCCCTTCACGTACACACACACGCATGTCATCCTAGCAGATACCATAAGAAGTTATCCCTTCAGGAAGTCACAAATTAAGGTACCTTCCACCTCTCTGAGCACTTCTTGGAAAACTCTGCAAAGTTGACTGGAACCTCTGGGTTCTTTTTCTTATGTTCCTCACGGCACGTCTGCACAAAGAAGGCATAGGCAGACATCTTGCCCTTGGGCTTCTTCGGATCACCTTTAGCCATCTTGACTCTGTAGGGAAGAGGGAAAAAGGGAAAAAAAATAATAAGTGAATACATGTATGGATGAATGTGTATATGTATGTGTGTACGCATATATGGTGTGCACATACTTATACATACACACACACTCCCCATCATCCCCTGAAGTGACGTCCCATCAGCAACACATCCCTTTCCTTCCCCCAACACCTCTTACCATCCCCAATACAGAGACTTAAATTATTCTTGACATTTGAGTTGCAGACCTGAGCCAAGTGAAACTGGTCACTAGGTTTAAGTTTTACATTGATATATATTTACATCATGTCCAAAGACTGAAGACAGGCTATTAAATACACATACTTCTGCCCAGTAAGAGTTATAGATGAACTAATATCAAGTATTTGTTTTAGTTGGCTACCACACTGGGGCTTCAGTGGCATGCACAGCGCCAGGCTATCACTTATCCCTTTAGCAGTTGGAGTTCACATGTTAGCAGCTGCTGGCCAGGTAGAAAGGCAGGACAGATCATTCCCCCTGTAAAAGTGCAATAACCTTTTATATATAAGAAGGTGCGCAAATAAAGGCTAGTTTTAAACACAATAGGACCCGTGGAGCCCCGAGAAGTGAGCAGCGCTTGCTCTTGCTCCACCAAGTGACACATGTTCGGAGGCATAGTGGTCAGTGCAAAGATGTGATTAGCAAGTAACGGAGAGGATGATGCTAACTTTCGGGCTGTATTTCTTTCCCCCTCTTCCGTATTCCCCCCCTCCCAAAAAAAAAAACCAACCCAAAACCTCCCGCAGCAATATTTCCTATTTACAGCTTCTCAAGCGTTTGAAAATTTAATTTTTATTAGCACAACGTTAATATTTAATTGCACCTATTAACCCCCATGCGCAGCAAAAGCGGCTTTAAG